ATTCACATGTTCTATTCTTCTATACTTATTTATTAATTATGTGTATGCTTCTCCTCACATTCATATGGTCTCTAGCACCCTTAGTTGGGGTATATTAACCTTTGGTTTTCCAACACAATTTTACTAGAATGAGTTTATTCAAGGTTTTTTAGGATTCACCTTGCTCAAATGTTTAACTAAACTATTTCTAGTGCTATCAACAATCTACGTTGAATTGGTTGAGTTTTAGGCAGGATCGTTTGTAAGAAATTGAAAATAATAAAGAAAAAAAATATACATTATTGTTCCAATTTTGGACTGGGCCGTAAAGCTAATCAGTTGAAGCCCAAACAATGCTTCTCTAGATTTTTGCTCTATCGCCACGAAGCCCATATCTTCTACCCAGTTCTACCCAATTTTTTATTTTTCTTCTACAGGGAACTTATGGACTGTGAAAGAGAAAAAAAAATGTATACATCAAAAGTGTAAGAATTTTTTTATATTGTCATTGTATTGTTTATCATTCATTTTCAATCAACATTGAATTTTAAATAAAAATAATATAAATGAATAGTAAATGATGTATTAACTATGTATAAATCTCTATGCATAGATATTACGGTCTCATTATCAAAATGCAAAAAATGAGACATGTCTATATCAAAAAGTTAGCCTAAAAGAGACCAATATTCATTATCAATTACTTTATAAATGATATATTATTCCTAGCCTAGCCAGTAAATCTCAATAACAAACATTATATTCAAGGATAGGTATAGTTTCACTAGAAGTAGCTTCCATTATTAAAGTTAGTATAAGTGCATATAACATGTGCTAAAAGAACATAATTTAAAGATTAAAAAAATAAAAGCTTAGTTGAAAATGATATATTTAATTAACATTACAAGAAACATACTGTTCATGACTATAAAGATCAAATTTTGGAGAGCATGTTTATTCATAAATAAAAAATATACGTGTCTGCTCATAAAAAAAAATATGCATATGTATATGTAATATCTATTAGTGAATCAATTATTGATTTTACAAACTATTACAACAACAAAAAATTCCCATATCTAACCCCAGTTTCTTAATCCTTCAAACACCCCTTTATGCTGTCTTTTTTTTATCTTAGCTTTTTCTTCAGTTCTTCTGAACTTTGATTCAATATTCAAATGGACATTATCTCTTAAAATCTGCTTGACTATAAAGGGTAATTGACCATTAATTCAACTACATGATCTTTGTTTTGAATCAATCTTCCACCCCACATAATCAAACACCTACCTCAATGGCAGCACAAATTGCACCACTCAACCCACCGACCACTACTCAATTCTATTTCACTACGGGTCATGACATATCTCTAATATATGAGAGTGTGTCTACACTACTTTATGTGCAAAATTCCAAATGAATGTCTTTTGAAACTTTGATGTTAGTCATTGGTAGGTAGAAAGCTAGAAATAGATGGTGTTGGTTACCTTTTTCTTAGACATGCCACCAACACATGCATGTTAGCCACACCACAGTACCAGCCACCAACCCTTGTTTTCGGTGTTCAACTATAAACAAATAACAACAAAATCATATTCAATTATTGTAAGCAAATGTTATATAAAGTGTAACATTGTAAGTGTTATTTTAAATATTTATATAGGTTATTATACCATCTATAATTTATTTGAATTACTTTATATAAGAGTCAATCATGATAAATAATATATATTGATACTAATGATAACATTACGAGTTGATTTGATAATAATAATAACACAGCGTTATTATTATTATTATGATACATTATGAATAGAGAAATATGTAATATTAAGATTTAGAAGTAGAGTTGAACATAGATTGACTTGGACTTATATTCTTTACTCTATCCTAAATGTTAGTTGAACTAATTATTGAACTTATATGTATGATTAAACATTAAATCCTTATTTATCATTTTAGATAAAATTTGCTCAATATTACTCATTCTGATGAATATATAATTTGACTTTTGAACTTATGACAAATTATTTGAATATATGTATATATAATGAAAAGATTAGATAATTAATAACATATAAAATGATATATACAATTTGATACTAAATCCTTTGCACAATCTCCTAAATCACTATTAATTAAAATAAATTGAAATAACGTTGTCAAAATGATCAAATTATATGATTAGTAGATAAGTTGGTATAACCAAATTGATTAGGTGTTTGAAGAAAAAAAACATCATTATATTGCTTACAATGAAACAAGCATCTACATACAGAAGTCAAGATGAGCATGATTGAGTAACGATTATCCCTTTCTCGAGGTAATGATGAAGATTGTTTTTTGAATCCAAAGTTAGTCTAAAACATAACAAAATCAGATCATTTTTAAGTCTAATTAAAACCAAGCCAAATGGAATAATGAAATAACGCCCACCATGTGCTAATGTATACGAATTGGTTTGAATATATCAAAAAATATATATTAATTCAACTAAAACATGTGGTACAACATCTAAGAATCAATCTCATTGAAGTTTAAATGTGAATACAAAAACTTGTAAGGGAGAGGTTCATATTTATGATTTTTTCTTGCTACAAGTCAATCATTTTGTAAGGGCGAGATCTCGTGCAAATTCATTTTTTCTTTTCGTAAATGTTTAGAGGAGATAAACCCATCAGTTTTTATACAAAGTTAGGATAAATCAATAATCTTGACAACAACTTATTGTAAATTTACATTTTATTCAGCACTAAGTAAAAAAAAATCTCAACAATTACTTCATACGGTGATATTTTGTTCGGCCAATTACCTTCATTTATATCCATGACTGTAAAATAAACTGCTAGAAGAAATACAATTCTCAACATAAAATTTTAGAGATTTTCTCAACTGTTAAAGGTAGAAGTTGAAAATTTATCAACTCTTCAGTCTTCTCTTAACTCACAAAGTTAAAATTTCACTTAACTCTTCAGTCTTCAGTCAATGATGGTCACATAAATAAGATATATATATATATATATATATATATATATATATATATATACATACACACGTTAAATGTTGGGAGTTATTAGTTTGAAGTAATGAAGATTTAAGGATGGATTAATGCATGGAAGATGGTAGGAAGAGAACAGAATGGAGTTTATTGAAGAAATAAAAGAAGGGTATTTCAAGAATGGTAAAAACAAATAGAATTTAAACAACAACTTTTGCCTTTAACACCATCTGGATGAGAAAATATCAATTTCATACTTTACTTTTATTTCACAATTTATATTTTATAATAACATACATATATTTCTCATAAATTAAAAATAGCATACCCATATTGTCTTCCTATATTTCCAAACTTTACTTTCTTATGTGAACAGTATTATTATGAAGAAATAAAATTTGGACAAGAACATGATACGTTTTCAATTTCTTACAAGTCATCTTCTTTTGAAATGTGTAATTAAAAGTACCTGGTCCATGATTTTATCCGGCAGATTAATCAGTGAACTCAAACCCTATATATACGGTTACACGCACCAATGTTCAGCACAAGCACATTGTATGCACTATGTACTATGTAGTATGTACACACTAACACACGCTTTATCGTGTAGAAACACTTATATATACACACACACATTATCGTGTAGAAACACTTGTATGTACAAAAAAGATGAGAGAGAGGCACTGTGGTTAGTCTTATAGAAAATAGTGCACTACAGTTGAGTGAAGAGACTGGTTCAAAGGATGAGAGAGAAATGGCTTAAAGGGGTAACCATGTCCTCACCTTTCATCCCACTCTCCTTTTTCTCTCTCTTTATTGAACAGTATATATAAACAGTACTAGTGTTGTGTTGGATTTAATGCATAAGGGTCTCTTTCAGTTTCAGGGAGAGAGAGAAAAGAAGTAGTTGATAACTTGATGGCTTTGTTTTTACCAAAGGAAGAAGAAACAATAGAGAAAAACGCAATACCTATGCTCCTCCATAACTTATTATATGGTTGAAAAAGTCTTCTGCAAAAAAATACTTCCTTGATGGGAAAAGAAAAAAGTTATCATTTTCTTACCTTTGTTTTGATTTCTTTTGGAAACGTAACAGTGTTTTATTACCAGATTTGTGTGGATATTAGATCTTGTATCGCCTTCCTTTCTCTGACTCGTATGAAGACAGTGACACTTCATTTTTTCTCCATCTCTCCTTTACTAATTTAACACAACTTCTCATTTATTTCTGCTTCTTCTTACACTTGAACTCACTTCTTTTTTAAATTGATTGTTTCACAGTTTATAGTTGTTTGTACCGTTTGTTTGATTTAACTCATTTACTTCTGTAAGTCTTTTGGTTTTCTAATTCATATTTTCTTTACCCCTTTTCATGTCATAATGTTCCTAATCTCTTTCAGCAGTAGTGCTTCTCATATCGTCCTTTGTTTGAAGCTTCGGTTGGTGGTGAGACTCTGGAGAAGTATATTTCAGTAAGTATAAGATGTAGTTTATTTGATTTAGATGTTTGTTATTTGCATTATATAAGTCACATAACAAGTCCACCCTTTAATCAAATGGTTAGACTCAAGGGCACACTATTATCTTTTGGTTCAGGGAAATGCTTTTGACAAAATCTTAAAATATATTGTCTCCCATTATGTTCTTTAGCACTTGGCAGCATTGAGACTTAGGGTTAGGGTTATTCTTAAGAATACTTTTTAATATTTTGGCCAACACATAATGCAACATATTTTGAAGGGGAGGATTTAACTTTTTTTAGTAATATTTTCCTCTTCTGTGAAATTAAGTTGGTCTTAAAATTGATATTAGGTTTGACATGCAGCACTCTAATTGAAATTTATCTAAAATGATCCTGGTTATTTAAGTTTTAATAAATGTTGTAGTAATCCCATTTTGTTTGTGTTTAGTTGGGTTTTAGATCTGTTTAATTAAATATTATAAGGTTCTTGCCTGAACAATCTTTTTCAATTGATTTAATTTAAGGTTTGGATTAATGTTTAAGAAGTGAAGAATGAAGAATAGTTTAAGAGAGCTTCCTTCAGCCCACTCATGGACGGGTAAAGGGTTTGAATTAGCTGCTGACTCATTCATTCAAACACAATAGATCAAACATAATGATATGCTATTGTGAATGTGTGAATGATGCAGGAGCTAAATTTCTTCCTTTTTTGTCTGTGCTTGGACTGAAGGGAGCTCCCTTTTACTGTTTATATATTCTTTTTTCTTCTCCTGCTAATCATATTTTTTCCTTCCCACAATGACTTTTTTTTAGAATGTATACCTTCAATTCAGTGGTTCCCCCACATATTCTAACCACTTTTCGTCCTTTAAGTATGTTAAAATCATTTTGAATCTATTTGTTTGCTGTAATATAAACATTTTATGTAGTTTTACTTCTAGTTTTATCTTGTCCTGTAAATTATTGTTGTTAGAGAGCTTATTCAGTTATTCATCATTGATCTTAGTGACTTTTGTATGGGTTATTAGAGTTTAGGCCCCCATAAAATTTATGGCATGTAACTTCCCTATGTTATATCTAAATAATTAGTGATGCGGGTTTAGTGCACTTTCCTTGTCACCATCTTGTGTAATTCCATCTGTGATGGCTGTTTGACAATGATTTTGCTGGTCATACAGTTTATGGTCTCTCTCAATGGCATTGTTTGTGGAATGCTAATTTATTATATGTTGCAACTATGTATTGGTACCAACAAATTCAATGCATAGGTTTAATCTATTCTAGAATGATTCCCACAAATCCAGCAACCATCATTTTTCCTTGGTGCCTCAGGTAGGTCAAAATAGCACCCCATCAAAATAATTGAAGCTTAAGCTTCAAAACTTAGCTTATGGGAAGTATCGCTCAAGTTATTATATGTTTATTAGATTTATAACACACTCAGTGGACTGGTTTGAGTTTACCTTTTGGGATTTTTATTTTATTATTTTGATCAGCGGGTTGGGTTCATTTGTGGTGTATCTAACTTGGGGGGTTTTTTCTGTTAAGAATGTGTTCTTTTTTAATCGTAATATCTCAGTCAAGTTTGAAAAATAGTTCTAAGATTTGTTTTAATTAATCTTTACATACATATACACAATGAGGTAATCATAAAAGATAATATGATCTGATGGTATAGAATTGAAGCTGTTAAATATATATAACATCACTGTACCCATTGATAAGGCACAATGAGGTAATTCATGTTGAAAGCAAGAGATGAAGAGAATAACAAAAGTACATTATTTGACATATATATTGAATGGCATGCTTGGCTATGAACATACTAAGGGTTACCTTAGAAATATGCCTATGTTAGACATAGGTTGTATCGTAGTGTAGTGTGTGTCAGTCACTTTATTCCAAGACAAAAGCAAACTTTGGTCTGATAAAGAAAACATAATAGCTAGCTTCCACCACACATCACTGCTTTCCCACTCTTTCTCAGAATTGGAAGAGGAGCTTCAAGTTAATTATCAATCTGGTTGGTGATTTTTGATATGTCAACATCAATCTACATCTTCATAAAATTTAAAAATGAAGGAAGCTACTTTGTGAAATAGAAGGATAAAGCAATACTTTTTAAGAAAGTGATTTTAGAGTGTAAAGTGATAAGAAAATGATATATTCAGGTGTAGATTATATATAAAATGGTAAAGTGATTTTACCTTTCGTAAATACACTTTTTTGTAAGCTGGCAATTATGAATTCATTTCAAGGCTTGAACTATTTTCTTGTTGGAGTAACGTTGTAGTAATAATTATAGCTCAATCTTCTGGGATCTGATCAGTTTTGCAGTGTTTGAATTAAAAAAACTAGTGGACGTGCAATGGCTCCTGAATCTCTCTCTTTTTGTCTCATCACTCTGCTTCTGATAGAGTCTAGCTATGAGGTTGGAACTTGGAGCTATAACGTTCTAGTTTTTTGACATTCGTGATATCCATCAATTATTTGCCTTTAAAATCTCGTGCATTTTATAATTATATTAGTATTTTAAGCTTCTTGTTTTTTTGGGTGTTTGAACTTATTCTCCTTACGAGCTATAAAAGCCAAGAACGTTATTTCTACTTTCATGCTGAACAAATTTTATTTAAATTAAAAAAATTGGGATAAGAGAAACAAAGTATAGTAATAATCTATTCAGGAAAAATATTGTTCTATTTTTTCTTTTTATGTGTAAAATGAAGGTTTTTTCAATCTAAATGCTTTTAATACATAAAATGGAGATAATAGTTGATCAATATAAACTAATGCAAATGTTAAACTGTATTTTTAAACCCAAGCTTCTGTGAACTCCAATCTTGTAACTCATTCTTTTTGTCAAAGAGAAAATTTCAAATTTTTTTATAAGTGAAAAAGTTTCTATTATTTAACTCTTGTATTTGGATTTTAAGTCATTTCTTTGCTTATAGAAAAAGAAGACAGAAGCTTTTGTTAGAATATGACAATTTTTTGGTTGATCTTGCATGTGTAACTGAACTTAAATAAACTAAGCCAGTTACTTGATGAGTTCGAGATGCAAGTACGATTGAACTGTATTTCACTTTTTACAAATTATTTTATAAGTTGATAGATATTTCGATAAATGTGCATGCATGTGATTCGGCCATGTACATTTTAAATAAATCTATGTGGATTATGCCCTAATCTCATTTGCTTATTTGTTAGATATGTTATTACTTCTGGTTTGTCTGGTGTGTCATTTTCCATTTTTATATCCCTCTGCATGTCACTATTTCTGATACCAGAATTAAGTTAGTTTAATTTGCTGCAAAAAAAGAATAGTTTTTTATGTTAATACAAAATTGGGCACTTGACTTTTAATTTGTATATACTAAGTTAATTAATTTGCAGCTTCTGAATGTGAATGGCTATATATTTGATTGATTCAAGCCGAGTAGTTAATGTATAGATGAAAGCTGAATCTTCCACATGAATGCATGATGTGGTTGGGAAGAGAGATTTTATATGTAACAAGTACAAATAAAAACAATAAATAAAAAGACAAGGCACATTATGTTGGACACAGCATGTGCCTTTGACAGTAGTGTTTTTTGTTGCTACCAAAAGGGTTTGAGCCAATGGAAAGCTTCACAATAGTGGCAGTTGAGCTGGATAACTGTTAGATTTGGGAAATGACATTCCATAATGTTGAAGTGCTTCTTACTTCATCCTCATTATTATCTTGTTACTATTTTCTCTTTCATATGTAAAGTTTAGATTAAAACCTTGTATTCTGCATTTAGGGCAATGCACTAGAGCAAATTTTGAAACACTAAAAACAAACTAAAATGAAGTGTGTTCTATTTTATTTTATTTTATTTTGTGGGATTTTCATCCTCCAACTTTCATAAAAGTAAAAAAAATCCTTTCATCATCTTTATGTCCAAGATCTGAGGACACTTGTCAAAAGTAAGGGTGTGAATAAATTAGGTTAGATTTTGCCATAAAAAGTTTATGCTCATATATTATATAGGAGTCTAGGTTATGACTTGTTAGTCTCTTTAATATTTTTTAAAAGCTTAGACCTGAACTATTTAAGAACTTATTTGTTTGTCTATTTAAAAGTTTGTTATACTAGGCCTATCTAACTATAATATTTAAATTATACTTTTGTATACATTTATATATTAAAATTATATATATTAGTTATTACTTACGTATGAATATTATTATATAATATGCTCGAATGTTATATAATATTTATTACTTATAATATGATATGTTTGAATATAAAATTTGATCTTGTATGCTATTATAAGTTCATGACAGACACTCACTTTTTATTATACCATACGCATAATCAACTCATTGCTAATGAAAAACACCATCATGCTTAGTAATCCAATATCCAAATACTATTTATAAGCTGTTTTAAATTTTTGATACATTTTCTTAAAAGCTCGATTTGAACAGAGTCTGATACAGTTTGGCACATTACTATGTTGTTATTGTCGTTTGATATTGGATACATTTGATGCCATTATGGTAATGTTGGATATTCAATATTAGGCTGTGTTGGTATTGCTTCATTAGTAAGAACTATTAAGTTTAGAACTTCGTTATAAGTGTATGCTATAAAAATAAGTGAGTAATTATGATAAAAGCTACTCATTTAATAGCATACAATTTTTAATTTTTGAGATTTCAGCTATTGTGAAAACCACTTTTGCAAAAAGAAAAAATTGCTTCCCCGATAATTAGCACATAGTAGAAAGGAAATCAAATTTATCTAATTCCAGGTTTTTTTACTGTCTCATCCATAATGAAAAAATCAGCTAGAAAAAATACTCTCTTTACTGGCCAATTAAGCACTTTTGAACAATAGAACTTCTGATTATCTAATAGTAATTTATGTTATGCAACAACATTCTACACTATATAACCTGATCCAATGATACAAACTCTTGATGGCTTCAGAATGTGGCAGCATTGCCTTTGAACACCAAGTACTTATGTATGCAGTACCAAAGAACTTAGGCAAATTGGTGTTCTTTTCTCCATACCCCCACGTATGATCTATAAGAATTTATTTGATCTAGCAAAATTGGGTCGTTAAATAAATACATGCACTATTAACATTATGCTTGTATGGTTTTTTCCCTCCTCATAAACTTTATAGTATTTTTATGCCCCAAGTTTGATGGCTGTATCAATTGCATCGATTGTGTTATTTTGTTGTCCCCAAAGCTGTGCATATCTTCCTCCACTTGATAAAAGTGCTTCATGGGGTCCTTGCTCAATCACCTTTCCATTTTCCAAAACTATGATCTGACATTATTAGCATAAAACTTGTTAATATAAATAAATTGTCAAAAGATAAGATACATGTCAGGTAAAATGCTATTTAAAGCAATGATGGACTTTTGAACTGACTAGAATAATAGTAATAGTTCATAAATCTATAGTAACTAAACATGCTTTTTTCAAATGTCTTGGATTACAGTGAAGATGTGCTCTAACAAATAAATTGAGAGTTTACCTCATCACACTGCATTGCAGTGGTAAGCCTGTGAGCAATGAATATGGAAGTTCTATTATTTGATAGTGATTTCAATGCACTTAAAATCTCTGCTTCTGTTGTGCTGTCAAGAGCACTTGTAGCTTCATCACACAACCTAAGAACAAGGACAAACGGTTAATATATTTTTCATTTTGTTCCTCTGCACTTTATCATTCATGTTCAGCCAGAACATAGTAAGTTTGAAAATG